TGGCCAGGGCAGCGAGGCAGCGAACGCTGCCGAGGCCCTCACCTTTTTTTTTTTTTTTTTATTCTAGTATAGGCACCTCAAATAGTGATGGACGGGGACTTAATAGCCCAGGGTGCTAAGTATTGTTAAAGGCTCTTTAGGTCATTACATACATGTGCGATTAAATTTTGGTAATTGGGTCTCGCACAAATATATACAATTAATGAGCAAAAAGAGTTTAAAGGATAAAAACTTATTAACATTGAATATTTGAATACTTTCGGTTTATTGGAATAATTTTGTTTTTAAAATACAAGTATTCTCTAGGTGTTTTGTTGTCATGCAACATTAAATTCTCTTATCGCATCATAATGGTTTAAGTTTAAAAATACGAGTATTTATTATTTTTCGTAAATTATTTTTGTTCTATTTTTGGATACTACATGTTTTTCATAATATGTTAACGCTCGTGCAATATAAGATAACGATAATACGATGTATAAATATATTTATATTTCTTTTTATACCAGTTGGATTTTTATCACTTCTATAATAGTTAAATTAATATTTGTATACATACGGGGCACGGGCATTCGAGTGTGTAACGCGTGTTCCGGTATTAGTGACCAGTTTCGTTTTGTGTTTTGTGTATCTTTATTAAAATTAACAAAAATGAATAAACAGAGGTTTCAAAGTGGACACGCCAAAAGAAAAGCGAAACAAAAGGAAGCCTTAATTGCTTGTGGAAACGACAAAAGTCAAAAAAAAATTTGCTTCTTCCCAACTATTAGACAAGGTAAGAATAAAATTCAAAATTATGTTTTATCTCACATGGTATACACTGCTTCTGCTAATTTCAGTAATTTCAGGTAATTCTAGTGTTACAAGTGATCCAGTTTTAAATATAACTGAAAATAATTCATCAGATTTTGAAAATGATTTGATACATGCCAATGGTAATAATAGTAAAAATTAAAAGCTATGCAATGTGAATGTTAATTTATTCAATAAATAATCAAAATTGTCTTTTTCAGATAATTCTAGCACAGGTTGTGATATAGTTTTAAGTACAACTGAAAGTAATATAGCAAATACAGAAAGAAACATAACTAATAATACTGGTAAGTGGTGATACATATTATATAAATATATTATGTAACTACTAACTATTAATTATAACTCAACTTACTTAACCTTATTTATTATTGCTTATATTAAAACAAATATACCTATTGATTTAATTTTTATCTAGTTGTTGAAAAAAGTGTTGAATAAATTCAATTTTTATAGAGAATTAAATAAATGCTCTTTTAATATAAAAATTAATCTTATTTTATGCCAAAATAATTATTTTTTGTCTAAAATACACTCTCACAGTTAATATATTTTTGGATCATTTTTTAAACCAAGTTGTATAGTTTATACTAGTTATACAATATATATAATATATATTATTATTATTTTTTTTTTTAGTAAGCTACTTTTAATAATTTATTTGTTTTGTATAAATATGTACTACTTCTTCCATCAACTCAGGTAACATGTGAAAGAGTTTTTTCTAAACTTTAGTTGGTTAAATCAAAATTAAGATCTACTATAAGTCAAGAACATTTAACTCCATTAATGCTAATGAATGTCGAGAAAGATATAGAGATTGATAAAGAACATATTATTAATTGCATAGCTGGTTCATCTGATGCATTAAAAAGATTACTTACGTTATAAATAAAAAAAAATTATACTATTAGAATAATAATATAATGTGTTAAATCATTTATTTGTTGTTGTTTTAAAATTAACCAAGTCTGTTAATTAGTAGAATATAATTATTTAAATAGTGTATCAGTGAATTTAAGGAAATTTTATTAAAAAAAGAATAAGTAAATTTTAATACCTAATAAAGAGTATGTAATTCAAACTTGTATAAAATTCATCTATTTTTTAGTTAAAAGAAATATTATGTACATATTTGTTATAATAATAAAATAATAGTTTTATTTTAAATATATATTTTCTATAATATGTTGTGTATGTATGAAGTCTATATGTATGTAAGATATTACAAAACATGACTTTCAAAATTTCAACCCAATCTTAGATAAATTTTGATAAAAAAATTGAGGCCCTAAAAAAAACCCTGCCTAGGCCTTTCATAGCCCAGGCCGACACTGTATGTGACTGTTAACAACAATTATCTCAATTTTTCAAAGTATTTATATTTGTTTGATTTTAATCAAGAGAACAAAAATGTATAAACTAAAACGGTTGTAGTTCTATTAAATCATGTCAACAATATTTTAAGATTACGATAAGAATAAAATAATTTTGATTGAATTAAGAGGACGTCACACCGACTGTATGTTGTATGTAAAAATTGATTCGCGCGGGATAGAACCACTCGGGTTATATTCGTAACTATGAGACCAAATTTTCACCATGAAAAGATGAGAACATTGACTATGCAATGTCGTTTTTCTTTTTTCAATATCCCTTTTACAAAAAAAGTTATTGTTTTAAATCTATGATTTTTTATGTTTTTCAAATTTAAATAACGGTAAATATAATAATGATATCGAAAAAATAAAAACTACATTGCATAGTCAAACTTCACATCTTTTTAATGGTGAATATTTGGATTAATAATTAATAATATTTTCAGAGTGGTTCTCTCCCGCGTAAAACGGTTTTGCGCTAAACTTTTTAATTTTTCATACTATTTTTGTGTCAATACATGCTGCAATCAACGAAAAATCTCCAAACGATTAGTATTTAGTTTAATCCCCTTCTACAACACCACAAATGTTACACCGATAACGATTGCGGTTGTCGATGTTGTTATTAAGGTACGTTTTCCCTGCAGCGTCCAAACGCAGCGTCAGACGCATTGTTACTAGGTACATGCATTTTAGTTGTGACTGTTTTCCTACTTGCGTTTAACGCAGCGCGTCGGTAAATGTCGCAGTGTCTGGACTAGTGTCGCGTACGGACCTCTTGCGTCAAAAGTTTGATAATGTCGAAAAAATTTGTTTTTTCCTCAACTGAGGACGAAATTTTAATTGAATATGTCCAACAAAATAGGGAAATTTTTGACAGTGCTCACCCTAAGCATAAAGATATTCATTTTAAAGAAAAAATTTGGAAAATTTTTTCTGAAAAAGTCGGTAGAACAGGTACGTACTTAATATAATTGTCTGATTATGTATTAATTAGATCACTAAAATCATATTGAATGTATATTATTGAATGTAATTACTAAATACTACTTTATTTTAAATACAAGTTATGATTATATAATTGTTATTATTATAAACTTTTAAATTATGGAAGTTTAAATACTTAAATAGTTTAATAATTAATTATTTATTAGTTAATAGTAGTATACCTAAATAGTTTAATTTTTTATAGATGAAGACTGCAAAAAAAGGTGGAGGAACATAAGAGATACATATATGAAACAGAAAAAAAAACTATCGACTGGTTTAGCAACTTCTGAAAAAGTGAATAGGACACTGTCATACTTATCGTTTATGGATTCAGTTGAATACGAGAGAAAGTAATGAAAATATTTTTTTTAATTATTAATAATGTACTGTAATTAAAGTTTAAAAATTAAAGGACTACATCAAACGTCAAAAAATCAAGAAAATGATAATTCTTTGTCAACTGCTGAAGACGGAGATGACACACAAAATCATACGCTAAACGACGAGGAAACATTTGAATCTCCAAATAAATGTTCAGATTTACCATCAATATCATCGTACGCAGGAAAACGGATTAGGTCCAAAGAGGATAAAAACCTACGTGTGTATTAGATCACGGTCGTAAGCACTATGATTGAATTTCGATGAATGTAATTTGATCAAAAATACAAAAATTACTGCGTCTAGACGCATGCAGAGAAAACGGGCGTACGTTGCGTCTAGGCGGCTCGATTTTCTGCGTTTGGACGCTGCAGGGAAAACGTACGCTATTAGTGTTATAACTTATTATTATCTCGATATTATTAGATTATGGTATTTGACTCAGCTATCGCTATATTGTATTGTACTATACGTAAATATAAAATATAAATGGATATGTTCATCAATCGTCATGCTCATGAATTGAATAGTTTAATGTTTTAGAATATTTAAAAAAATTAATTATGTCTATTTTTACAATATTTTCATTTATTACTTCTTACAAATACAAATATAATAATTAAAAATACATTAATAATGCACAAAAAACTAAGAAGTCACTGGTTAAAAAAAAAAAATTAATAATTGATTTATAATTTATGTATATTAGGTCTGTGTATGTATGGTATAAATGTATAATAACTGCTCCGAGTCTTATAATATATTTGTGTTTGACATAATTAAAGGTAAAATGGAAGAAAGATTTTATAATACATATATACTGTAGTAAAAGGGTTGATATTAAAAATATTACGATATGAATTATCGTCGTGTAGGCCTAATATACGTGTATAGCCGATTCCGGCCTGCTGATAACGAAGTCACCGCTGCAAATAGTGTAAAGTATATAGAATTTAGGACGAATGTTTATAATATAATAAACCGCTTTTCCAAATCAACATTTGTCGGACCTCGCTATCGCGAATAATGGGCATGTCTATGACGTGGGTCGTGTGCTTGCGGTGCACGAAAACATCTAACAGCGCGTTCTCTCGGTCGTTGTACACGTTTCAATTTTGGTGTGGCGTCCTCTTAAGGAAAATAATTACTATAACTTTTTATGTTAGTGTGGTTGCTTTGAGCCCAGGGGGAGATTTAGGAAAGGTTTAGGTCAGCTGACCCACAATTAATATTTGTTGACAAAATTGGCCTCTTGAAGCTTCTTATATTTTTAAATGCCGACTTTAAGTTGAAGTTAAAACCAAACTGGTATATGTCCCAGTTACTCCCCCCCCCACCCGTCCACAAATTATGCCACTGGTTTAATTGTATGGTAAAATAAAACATCTCTATGACAGATCCCATATAAGGTTCCAAAAAAATAAGATAAATGTTTACAATGATAATTATGAATAAACTTCAAAAACAAATATATGATAATATTGTTCTTTTGTTACAAGGAATACATTTACAATCCACTTTCAGCTCTTATAAGTGGTCTCTTAAAATAGTCTGAACCATAGTTCTCTAACTGTGGCTCTAACTAAATCAGCCCCTGGTTGAGCCCCTATTTTAAAAATAAATCTTAGGGCCCACCCTTATGGCCAGGTATCCGGGTGGGCCTGACCAACATTGGTTCCAATGACTTGTGCCGACTTCAGTTCAGTTTTAAATCTTGCCAAAGTATATTCAGTATACATTCAGGAGCAGATTGAAGTCCTGAAGGGTATAATTTGGTCTATGATATAACTAACATATGTGTATATATATGAAATTAAAACAAAAATTAATTTAACAAATTTATCATTTAATTTATAAGCATACACAAATAATGATTAAATAAGCTTATAGGTTTACATTATTCTAAAATGAAGTCTTATAACAGTTAACAAATGTTAACTCCTATGACTAGAGACACTTTCTTAAAAATTATTATATAATATTAATTTTACACTTAAAACATTGTGCAAATTCATAATTTATAATTTAAGTTTTATAAAGGTAACAAATAATTAATATAACAAATGATGAACAAATAATAATAACTTGTAAATTGGTGACAGTGTTTCTTATTTCAATAAAATATAGATTATAACTTTTGTTTAATGTCTTCAACATTCAATTTTAGTTTTAAATCATTTTAAATTTACTGTTGATAAAATATATGCTAAAAAAATATCTATTACTTAACATAAATAATTTACCTTTTATCAAACATAATTTAAATTAAAAATTGGTCAATACAGAAAGTGGTTTCACATAGTGAAATATAATGTGATTAATAAAATTATAATTTTTGTATATATCACATCATTTTATAAAGCTCATTAATTAATTGCTAGTTCAAGCACAGCCCAATTAAATTTTTAAGTGCAATAAACACAATAAGTTATTTCATTATTAAATATATAATAATGCTAAGTTATTAGTATGATGTAGATGGTGTAACAACAGAAACATCTGTATTTGCACTGAAAAAAAAAATATACAAAAATCAGTCTTAAGCATTTATACATATTATTGTATAATAAATAATATATGATATACTATAGATACAGTATCTTTTAGTTATCTTTTATGTTGCAAGATTATTAAATATAGAAGGTAAGTTAATTAACCCAGCATTGAATTTATTTTACATTGACATAAGATTAGAATAGTTTTAGAAAAGAATGTTTATACAAAAATATGAACTGAAATAATTTTTGGAAGAATTTCACAAATTATAATTATAATTAAAATGTTGAAATATGTAACAATATTTTGTGTTTGATTTAAAAAATACAAATAATATGTCACAACATTAAAGTAAAAATTAACAGTAAGTCACAAGCCAATAACAGTAAAAAAGGTGAGTAAAGAATAAAGTAACTTGTATATAAAAGAACATTGGTATTTGAAAAGTCAGATGGTCTGAGACTAAGTTGTATTATTCCCATTAACAATTTATAGAGCAGGACATTCCAAAATAAAAGTTGAAATGGACAATACAGAAAAAAGAGAAAACATTTTTATTGAGAAGGCAAGAGAACAACATGAGACAAAGACTAATAAATCAAGGACATGATGGAATCTTTAGAAACAAGATGAATTTAATATCAGTGTAAATGAATGGAGTAAAATGTAAATTTAGCCGAAACACAATTGTAAACAAGAAATTTAATGGTATTAAGAGCAGTATATAAATTGGAGACATTTTGTGGAACACTTGATTTTTAGTAAAAAGACAGGAAAAAAATACACAAGGTGCTGTTGGTCATAATAAAGTAAAGGTGTCAGATGACTAATCATAAAGGAATTAAGATATGATTCGAGGCAGGGAAGTTTATTTTATCAAACATTTTAATGTAATTGAAAGTAAAAGTATCTTATAAAAAAAAAAAAATAAGGAATTTAATAAAAATTAATTTATGGTTAAAAACCATACATGTTTAAAAATTTCAAAATTAAATTTGAATTCAATACTTATTGAAAAATGTATAATAAATAACAAATTTGATAAAAATATTTTATTCAAAGATCCTTCTTTTAATTCCGAAGAAACTAAATACTTGAACTTACAATACAAATAATGATATGAAAAAATTAATATTAATATCTTGTATAAGGAAAGTTAATCAACTCTATCTAACATTCAGCAGTGGCGTACATTCAATCTTGCTCTGGGGTGGGGGGGGAGGGTTAACAAAAATAATTGTTATCTTTTTTTTTTTCGTTGCACAGATAAATAAGATAAATTACTGCTATAAATAGATATTATTTTATACAACATTTTTACCAATTTACAGTTTACTTTTACATTACAGTAAATTAATAGCTATTGGAATATAAAAATAGCATAGTTAACAAAACTTTTCAAACGCCTATCAATATAATTATTTAATTATCATAATATTTGTACAGTTGTATATTTTAAGTTAAAAGCATAATAATGAAACTACGAATATATTACACGTCATCAATAATAAAACAATTTTTTTTTGACCCTGGGGGGTTTGAACCCGTATCTTCTCCCTCCCGTATGTATGCCACCGACATTCAGTATATCTTTTTAAGTTAATAAAAGTATTTAAAACTTTTTACATACCTAGGTTTATATTTTATATGGATAATTAAAAACAATAATCCTAATAAGAAACAAATACATCCAACAACAATATAAGCATATCCAAGAAACAAGTTTTTGCCTCCTGTAAATGAAGTATTGGACAATATCATACTTTTTGTTCCTCCAAAGCCTGCTACTGGATAATCTAAAAGTAAAATTTAAATTATTGAAGGTTTTATTTTTTTTAATATTAAATAAAACATACTATATTTTATATGTAATGTATAATTTCCTTTAGGTAAACCAATTTCAAATCCATTAGAATGGTCAACACGTCTATATAATTTACGAAAATCAGGTAATGCAGCTGTTCGCATCCATACAATCAAATCTTCATTTTTAAAACCATTATTTGATGGATTTTCTGTATCCAATTCCCATATATTCAATTTCCAGTTTGAAGGTTTTGCAAAATCTTTAAATGCTAAAAAAAAATATTATTATTGATAATATAGAAAGTAGTTAACTTAAAACAAATAAATTACACATGATATAATTTATAACTGTTGTTATAAAAAATCTATATATTTACACTGAAATTAGTAATAAATATTAAATAAAAATACTTTTGATTATAAATACAAATACACATGTATTTATAATGAAACAAAATATACTTAAAATGTTTATTAGAAACAATTGTGTAGTACAGTGAAACCTCGGTATCTCGAAGTTTCTGTAGGTCGAATTTTTTTTTTTTGTCTCTTACGACTTCGAGATACCGAGGTTTCATTGTAATAGTATTCTATGCGATCGTTTCAAGTTGTCAAATATGATTCAAATGATTCATGAGTCAAATAATAGTTTATAAAAAATAAATAAATATTCAAAAAAATATGTTTACTATAGTCAAGAATTTCAATTTTAATGGCCATTGTGTAAAAAATGTATTTCTATGAGCTAATATAATTTATTTTCTAAGATTTTAGATATTTTATTATTTTTAATTAATAAAATACACTTACAAAATATACTAATGAGTTTCTTAATTTTTTTTAAAAAATATTTGAATTATTTGAAGTATCAAATAATAGATTGATACCCTGTTGAATTGGTACCTATTAAAGCGTACATTTTAAAATGTATAATTTTTAATGCATTATAATAATAGTCTTGACCACAATAGTACTTCAGACATAAATCATAAACACACAAAGTGATTTCAAACAATAATAATTTTTTAGTAACTAAATTATATTAATTATGTAAATAAAATACCTTCTTTTAAAGGTTCAGGTGGATTTTGGTACTTGATATTTTTATCAGATGGCCAAGCTATATTTGTTCGAAGTAATGGAACTTTTTTATCATCATAAGCCAAAGTAAGAGTATCTGAAATGAAAAATAATTTTAAGAAAACACAACATTATGACATATACTTTATTATTTAATAATAAATCAATCAGCACTAAATTAATGACAGACAATGCATTATTGGGACCCTCCAGGGTTATCAGGTAGCTTTTTAATTGGTCATCAAATACGTAAATTGTTGGCAAATGAACGACTGAATACAACACAATGTCATCTCCGTTAATACAGGGAATTATATAAGGTGCTTGAGCAAATATAAACAAATTTTTGTCTGACAATTGGATAGTTTTTTAAATGAAGTATACTATAGAACATCAACTATAATAATGAATGTTCATGATTTATAAATATATAAATTAATATAATTTATTTTATTATAAAAGATTTAGTTTTCCAATATTAAAATAATTGTCTTAATATTATGTTTTGAATGGAGAATATATCGCTGTAACAACATTTTAAATATTGAGTCTAATTATTTTATATTTTAAATATAAAAATAAATATATTTATTATTCAATAACTAAAATTATTAAAACATTAATTTATTAACTAATATTAAATATTTACCATTAAATAATGAATTGGCAATGGCTCCACAGGGAGCAATAGGCTTGTTATTTATGTAATCAAATGGAGCACAGTCTTTAGATGGAACTTTGTTCAGTTTTCCAAGTAACTGAAAATCATCTCTTGACTTTACATAACGCCGATGGTTTTGATAATAATTAGTCAATCCATAATACATGTAAACGTTAGGCTATAAAGAAAATAAATAAAACATGTTTAAGAATTTAAATAACATAACAATTAAAATGATAGATCTTACAGAAAAATCTTCTTCTAAACTAAATGGAATATGGCATTCACATGGAGTATCAGTGCCATCAAAGGCAATTATTTCAGCACAAGTACGGCCAGGAATATTTATGGATTTGCATTGAGTGTAATCAAGAGCGAATTCTTGAACCTAAATGATGTATTAAAGTAATATAAAAAATTCATAATTGAAAAATATAGGAGCACAAATGACTTACTTGATTTGTGAGGTACAGTAAACCTAAACCAATTGGGATAAATGCTGCTGCAACCGCAAAAAATATTGGCATCACATTGCGTGCTGTTAGAATCGGCTGCCATGCAGGTAGTCGCTGTTGTTTGAACGCTGTATCTGTAACCAAATAAACCCCAGCAATACAAAACTAATTCACAATACATGCAAAGTAAAAATAATAATAAACTCACCTGCCGGTTTTTTAGACTTTAGTTCTGGTAAATCTGTCATTATGTATGAAATACTGAATCAAGAGGCAGTGTTTGGTAGGTGGTTGTAGTACAAGTATTGTATAACGATCACCTACATTCTACATTTAATATCGACTGATAGACAGCGCATTTTATGACATCAACAGTACCATGAAAACGATAAAATTAATCACTCTAGAACATGCAATCTATCTGACAATCACAAGTGCACCGTTGTGGTAAATAGACACAATCTCACAATAGTACAATATGAAATATTACAACGAAAATTAAATTGAATATTATCTAAGTGATAACGCGGTGTTGGGCTTAGTTGTAAGTGTACATTTTCCATCAAATTATAACACTAATATCATATACTTTCATTGTAATCGTTATTGAAGTTGACTTCTGAATAATCGTTATCAGCTGTTTCGTACATGTCTAAAGTGTATTAGATAATCAAATGAATCATTATTCATAATCGTTTGGTCATTGTCCCGGATGACTGATTACACTCCTCAAAGGTCAACTTAAAATGCCAAGGCTCTACTAAACCACTAAATAACTCCAAAATGCATCGGCCTTTAAACATTTAAATCTGGCAGTGTTAATTTCAAATTTTAACTCGTTTAACGTTAAATGTCCCAATAACTCAAAAATTGTATTAAATTTAAAAATGTAAGTTATGTGCTACGATTATGATTATCGGATTTTCTATTAGCCGTTGAACTTAAATAATTTAAATATTGTTTAGAAAACAGCGTACAAACATGATGTACTCCTTTGAAAAAATTCATAGTGGCGCCTATGTTCACCATAGTATCATGGTGTTGAAGCATATATTAGTATACTGTTGTGCTCAGGCCCGTATTTAGGGAGACACGAGTAGGCACATGCCCGGGAGTGTCAAAATATTTTAGCAAAATTAATTTTAAAAATGATGTACCTAATGAAAAAAAAAAAAACAATAAAAAAAGAAAATAGTATGTTTTATTATGTTATAATTTGTTTAATTTGTTAATTAAAAAAAGTATTAAACGATTTTTATTTATAAGTTATATTTAAATATTAAAAATCTCGATTATGGATGAAATAATAAGTGTTATATTCAATACTTTAACATAAGTAACGATTTAACTATGTATAAATATAAATTGATATAGATGTCTAAAAATTAACTTGGAAATAATCTGTTTATGCTACAAATAATATATCTTATATGATTAATGTTTGAAATTCCGCGAACAAGTCTTAGACATGAAATAATTTACATATTTCTCCCAACGGACGTTTACCAATTTACGCAAAGTACAATGGAGATTTTTTATTTTTGTTGTTAATGTAAAAACATGATTTTTTTTTATTATTAAAACCAAAGCATCAAAAAATATTAAATTGGTAAATAAATAAATCTTTGGAAATAATGTTGCTACCAGCGGTGGATTGGACCACCGGTATCCCGGGAAAGTTTCCGGTGGGCCTGTAGTCTTATTATAAATCTGGGCCAATGTACTTGGATTAAAAATTATTTTATAAAAATGTATTTAAGTATATTGTAGGTATTTAATTATTGTAAGATTGTGATTAAAACCCTGTGTAAACGTGATGTAAACAATTTTTCGAGCATTTAATCCACGAATAAAGGAGACTTTTATGGAAACTTATTATTATTGAGTGGTTTAATAATAATAAATTTTTAGCCAATCCGCCGCTGGTTGTTACATTATATGTAGCTTACAAAAGTTATTTATAATTGATGTTATAATATAAAATTTGCATAACATTTTTAAAAAATGTACTCGATATCACTTGTATGATGTACATTTTATTAAATCCTTTAGTAAATTTGTGTTTAATAACTATTTTTTAGTAAATAAAAATAAAAAAAAATTGTAATGTTAACCATCTGTAATCAAATAGTGATAACACTAATAGTAAAAGCAGGTATCTATGTCTTCGGTTCTTTTTTTTAATATTATTATTTTTTAATTTTATAGTAAAGATTATTGACTACGAATAAATATTATGAAGAAATATTTTCTTGATTTAGAGCTAATATGTAAATATAAGTAGCTAGGTACTCAAAGATAAAAAAATAATCGTTATCATGGTTGTGAAAGAAAACTGAGAATTAATATTTATTGTCAAATATCAATTATTAGAAATAATTAGACATAAGAACCTTTACCTAAATACATGTATATTAGTTATAAAGAAGTTGAAATTAATTGTTTTAAATAATATAATAACATCCTAGTTAGGTACCTACTTATTTATATATCGATAATAAATAATTAGTATTAATTATTATTCAAATATTAAGGTTATCTGGCTATGAATATATATTATGTTTAAATTATCAAATATGAAGTACACATAAATGATACTACATAGATTATAACTTTTAACTATTTTAAGTAATCTTTAGTGTAAATATTAGTTATTACATACTATCGTTTAGATTTTCGTGTCAATGGTATTCATCTTTAGATAGAGAAAAATGTCTTTTTTAGCGTTGAATACGTAGTTGTCTCAGTACCTAATAGTTCAATAAAGTTTATATAAATTGAGAGAACAGAATGTTTGATTATTGTTTACGTAAATATATTAACTAGTGTACATAACATAGTGTAAAAAGTAACCGATTTTTAAAATGTGGACATATGGACAATTAACTGATGTAGGTGTATATGTATAATATCTATTAAAATAATTTCTACCGTTTTATAAAATTTGTCTACATAAAATATGTAACTATCTTGTGTATCTTTCACAATTAAAATATTTTATTAATAAATATTTGTATTTTTGTAGATTTTGAGACAATGTATTAAATTTGAATCTGTTTCCGAGCTGTGGAAAAATCAGCCAACATACTTGATAGTCCAAATATTATTTATAGTTGGAGGAACTGTTACACTCTTACACGGTAAGTTTATTTAGTTCCATTACACTGTAGTATCTCGTGATTCTGCTTATTAATGCCTACTATCTCCAACACAACTCAGAACTATATTAACTCAACTATTAAACTATTTTCTTCTATCTTCAAACTCAACTGTGAACTTGTTAACCTGCAAATCCATTCAATGATATTGATTTCATTTATTGTTCAATTATATGATATTAGAACATAGAGGGTTTGCTAAAAATCACATTATCTATGAATAAACCATAAATATTTATTATTAATATTTAATTTTATGCCAGGAAAATCAACAATGGAGACATTACTTTGTGTTCGACCACTAGTAGAGAAATTTAGGGAAAAGAAGAATGAATTATGCATGATGTTTTTTTTTTTTTTTATTAAAGGATATTTTGTTTACAATTAGTTTCGATAATTATAATGATTACAAAGATAGTACGTAAAAGTATATAAAATTAATGATAGAAAATATATCACAAATAAATTAAATTTTTGAGATTGGTTAATGAAGGATATAAGTGAAGTAATAATTGGTACAATTGGTGAGGAGTGAATGGATTGGGTGTCGAAAGGGACATTAAAAGAGTGAGTTAGAGCGAAAAAGATATTGCGTTGGGGAACCAGAGAGGGACAGTGAAAAAGTATGTGAGAGATATCGCAGATAGTGGTATCGTGGACATGTGACATGCATAAATGAGAGTCATTAAGAGAAAGTTTGTAAAAGTGTGAAGGTAGTAGAGTGTGCCCAAATATTAGGCGTGAAAAAAAAGTAATTATGTTACGATTTAATTTGAGGTTGTAAAACCAAGGTTAAGATGGTATAGATGGGGTGAAATATTTTTGTACCAAGAGGCATAATTGGGGGGCTACTTTGTTCTATTGGTTGAACCATAAATTAGAAATATGAGATTTTAATAAGAGACAAAAATCGGTCCAGGGAATTAGAGTTGGAGAAGGACAGCAGAACGTGGAGGTAGATTTTGCAATAGAGTCCGCTATTTAATTTCCTTTTATGCCAGAGTGACCAGGTACCCAAAGGAATTTAACTATAAAATCTGAAAGAGAAAGTTCATATAGGAGTTGCCTAATCCTAATGAAAAAAGGAGAGGGGCGGGAGTTGAAAAAATCGGAGGAGAGGCTGAGAAGACTTGATAAGGAAACGATGAGGTAGCTACTGAGGGGGAGGGTAGAAATAATCGAAAGGGCTTCTAAAATTGCGAAAAATTCAGTAGTGAATGAGGAAACAGAAGGGGGTAGATTATTGAGCATGAAGATGTGTAAGTCGTGAATGAAAAAAGCGTAACCGTCCGAAAGAGGGGAAACGGAACCATCAGTATAAATTAAGGTGGAATTGGGGAAATTATTTTGGATAAAGTCTAAGAAAAGATTGTTGATGATATAGATTTAAGTGAGTTAGAGGTAAAGTTAAGAAAATGTTTGTAAGTGTAAACTATAGGGGAGTAAGAGAGTTCCATAAAATTAATGTCATTTAAGGGTAATTTTTTGGAATTGATAATAAAATCGTGAATTGAAGTTAAGGAGTATGCCGTGGAGGCAAGAATTGGAAATGATTTTTTAACGTAACGCCAAGAGTAATATATGTCAAGAAAGGAATTAAATATTATGGGATAACGAAGTGGGAAATTTTTCAGTAGGAATTTACCAGCCAATCATCTGTTTCTGATATTAAAAGGGGAACATGCCTTCTCGATCTCTACGGCCGCATTAGGGGTAGATTTAAGGGCACCAATAATGGACTTTAGGCAAGAGTTTTGGAGATTATTCATTTTTTTTTCCATTGTGAATAGGAATCAGAGCCTGATAAAAAGCATCCGTAGTCAAGTTTGGACCTTATAACTGCTTTGTAAATAATTAAGAACGTGAAGGGGTGTGACCCCTGCCATGTATTGGAAATTGGCTCAAAGAGAGGTAAATTTGATGAGGTTTTGAAGATGGGGTGCCTAACGGAGTTTAGAATCTAGTGTTAGTCCTAAATACTTTATGTTTTGGACAATTGGGATTAGAAAATCGTTTATGGTGATTTCTGAAGAGAGAAGGAAACGTCTTCTGATAAAAATTATGGTCTTACACTTTTCAGGAGCTATAGAAAAAAAAGAAGAGGATAGGAGGTTTTGTAAAAGATCCAGCGAATTGTTTAAAGAGTCTATAGCGAGATCGATATCTGAATTGTTGGAGAATATGACTAGATCATCGGCATACACTAGGCACTCATAGCCGAATGTATTTAGTTGTTTAATAATGAAGTTCATATACAAATTAAATAGAATGGGATTTAAGCAGCTACCCTAGGGTAGACCTGTGAAAGTGAAGCATACGTTTGTAGAGCCGTATAGAGATGTGAATTTTGAGTTTTGTGTGAAAACAAGAGGGAGATAAGGTTAATGAATATAGAGGGTAGTTGAAGTGAATTATGGTGGGATAGAAGAGTTGGTATATGGACTGAGTCAAAGACACCATGAATGTCGATAAAGGCAGAAGATAGGAAATGTTTGTTGTTAAATGATTGGTAGGTATATTTTACTCGAAAAATTGACGAGGCGTTCAAGTGTGCCTCTTCCTTTTCTGAAGGCATATGAATTGTCGGAGAGAATAGAGTTATGTTCAAGCCACCAATCTAATCGGTTTTTAATATAATATATAATGCATGATGTTTATTGTTTTGGAAAAGGCGTATGACAGAGTGCCAAGAGACATTTTAAAGTGAGTATTAATGAGAAAAGGGATTCCAAATATATATATAGATTTAATCCAGGTTAGAAGGGTTCGAAAACTAGTGTATAGAGTTTGGGTGGGGTAACAAAAGATTTTAACATAGGAATGGGTGTGAGAAGGGCCAGCAAACAATAGAAGACATGAATATAATTGAATTGTAATAATTTCAGCTTTTACTTATGGAGGAAGACGGCCTTTGCTTTGGTTTACCATTATTTGTCATGGTTTGGTTGTTGAGTGTGTATGCTATGCTATGGACGATATAGATAATTTTTGGCATAGTCTTTCACCAATCATGTTTTTTGGACAAAGGCTCCCACTGTATGTTATAATTTTGTGTATGTATTTGTTTATCGTTGAATCCAAACCATGTAATTAAATAATTACTTTTTTTTGCAGATTCAGTGTTTTATTACATAGCAATTGAGATAGCATACAGGTCAAACCAGACAAAAATTGGTTTAATGGCTAACGTAGGGTTAAATGTATTTTTAATCGATTTGCCATACGATATAATGGGTATAAAATTTGTTCATTGGACCTGGCATGATACAGATCCAAACTTAGGGGACCGAATGTATTGGGTGCCATGGACTTCCTATTACTTCCACATGGTGTTTTCGGCCAGTTTTGTTTTTTGGTTTTTTTTTAGAAGTGTACATCTTAATCAAAAAAATACAACTAAAACAGAAATTATAACTTCACTAAGCGCAATATTTCTTAGCACACCATGTGGTATATTATGTTTTTCTATTTTATATCATCCATTACATGATCTCTACAACGTCCCGACACAAGTTATTATGATGTTTTTAATTGCAGTGTATATTTTGTTTACAATTTTAAAACGGAAGCCTAGATATATCAATAGTTGTCCATTTATAATAATTCTATACCTTGTTGTGTATTATACAACATTTTTATTTATGGCAATATTAGGAAAACCTGAAAATGAGGTTTCAACAGGACCACATGAAATAATTGGACCATGCAATGTAACCGTACCATCCTTTGGAACAGTTAGTTAATAAATTAAAAATTACTTGGGATCATAATATTCTTAACATTGTGTCTACATGCCCGACCATGGTCAGTAACAGCGTTGCTAGAATTTTATAATGATGAAACCATACAGAATAACTAGTATTACCGTATTTCAAATAAAATTACCGTGTATGAACATTTTTATTTTTTCAGACTATCTTCTCGCATATATAATCAAATACAAATTTGGTATAGCAAGGGTGTATGGTAATTTTTGATAATAATTTTGTCAGTTAAGGTCAGACAATTGGATATTAAAAAATAAAAAATTAATTGTTTTTGTACTCTTAAATAATTTTGGAAATCAAGATAAGAGTTAAATGTATGACCAAATTCCAGCATATTCATATTAATAAGTTAAAATGTAATACTTAAAAAACAAAAACAATGAATAACAGAAAATTAAATTAAAAAGAAAAATAAAGCAAAAACTGACAACTGAAATGATTAACCTCATTGATCAATTTTCAAGTATATATAGAAACATAATACAACAAAATAAAAATACTTCTTCAACATTCAAATTCACTTTTTATGTATGCATTTCATATCATGGTTGGGCATTTTTTATATTAGTGTTAATTTATTACCATCTATGAGAAAAATAACCAATTTTGAATAAATTTAGAAATTTCTTCAATTGGACCATTTGAAATTAAATAATTGAATAGCTTATAACAGAAACGCCATAAGAAATTTCAAAACATACCTTTTAAATCATTTTTTTTGTATTTTATTAGTAGATTTGTATGTATAATATACATGGCCAATTCACATCTTTGAAAGTTTTATTTTGAGCATAAACTCCACATGTGACACAACTTAAGAAGTTTCTGTATTAAGCAATTCAATAATGAATTTTGAAGTTTTTGGGATAAAATACTTTTTGCATAATAGCTTCAATTTAATTTCAGGAATTAGAAAAACGTAAATATTTATGTGTTGAAGACTATAATGAAGATTTTGATTTTCATTGCACAAAGGAAGTCCCAGTTCAATATAGTAAAATATATACAATATGCGGTACAATGTTTAAAAATCGTATTGAGTATATTATCTTAATTACAACCATAATTATAGTAGCATTTACACATTTTAATGAGTCCTTTAAAGTAACTAAAATAATGAAAAAATCTAAATGATTATATTTAAAATGTATTTGCAAATTATGAAAATTGTAAAAAATAGTAATAATAATAGTATATGAATATAGGATTACATAAATATATAGTAAAAATAAGTTTTTTAATTTGTTAAAATTGTTTTCATGATGCCATTTATTTTTTGGATAATGTAGTGTTAATTGTTAACACATTTGTCTAATTATAACTTTTAATACAACCAACTTAGTAGACAATGGATAAACACAGTAACATAAAAGGTGTTCTTAGGATTTGCGACACTAAAATGATGCACATGAATAACTTTATAAATAAAATATAAACTTAAAAGTATAATTTTTTTTTAAGTAAATATATAAAAGTAGAATTAGTAGTAAGTATAATTAAAGCAGCCGCCAGTCTGTTGTTGGTAAACTTCAATTGTATCACCTTCTTCCATTTCAAGAGATGAAGGAGTATCAGCTTCACTAATCGCCTGTCCATCAAAACGAAACCTGACAGTAGCCATGGCAAGACCCTTAAAATAATATTTATTACAAGATTATTAATAAAAAAAAGTATAAACAAAATTAGGTTTATTAACCAATAGGACACTAGTTCAGATAGTAATTATGAATAGCTAATAAGGTTTAAAAAAATAAAAATAGTATAAATATTTGACAGTTAAAAATAATTTATTGATATTCAAGATACAAAATTCCTCAAATAGTGTACCACTTTGTTCATTTTTTTATCAAGTAAATACTGACCATTAAACAATACTAAAGGGCTTTCATGTAAAAAAAAAAAAAAACATGTAATAGAGTATTTAGTGTCCACGGTATATATGCGTAGACGAAATATCCTACCAAAATTATGTTGTAAGCAACATATTGGTAACCTTTGTTTATCTTAAGGTGCGATTCCTAATGACGAGACTTTAATTTTGACTGCTTTACCTATTTTTAAATGAAACCTATTCCCAACACTGCCGCGCGGCTGCTGCGTCTCTAATCACGTGGTTGACGACCGTTCAGTAGGCGGTCAAAATGCACGACCGATCATCATTGAATTGTTGATCTAATTTAAAAATATTGATTTATAAATTCAATATAAATTATAAATTTGAAATGTCTTCAAAAGCAATTTTTACATTTGAAGAAAATTCTATGCTGGTTACAGTGGCGCAACTAGGTGGTGGAGTTTGTAACCCCCCCCCCCCCAAATTTTTATAAGGTTTTCACAAATTCTATGTAGGAAAAAAAATGGTTTATCTGGAACATGTAAAACGGCTGATTGACATGAAATATGAATATTATTCGTATTATAATTGATAACAATAATAACATATGAACATATAACAATATGGAACACGTTTGGAACGTTCCATTCAACTTTCAAACATCAATAACCTTGCTAATACGATTTCTCAATAGTCGATTGTATAATAATTTTTTTTGTGGTATCACAATATGAAATAGAATTCAAACAATTTAATTTGTAATTTAAATATTTTACTCATAAATCTAACTAAATCATAATTCTTTATCCCCACCAAACACCTGCAGAAAATGCTTATTTTTTTCAAATTCAGAACCTCCCCCCAAAAAACCAATCCTAGTTGTGCCACTGGCTGGCTAATTATGTGAGTAGACATACATGCCTATTTGATTTATAACATAATACTTAAAACGATTACTAAATAAAGGAAAATGTATAGAAAGACATATTCAAAAATTTAAACAAACTACGATGATTATGGTATATATCATTAATGATATGGAAAATGAGAATATGATAACAATGCACATTATAGACCTGTCATGCATCTATCTCTTGCAGCTACATTTTGTAGTCGTATGGAATACCTATTCATTCGCGTCATACGTCTACAGACGCATCCTTAGGAATCGCACCTTTAAGATCCTAAATCAAAATAGAATTTAAAGGAAATATATATGTTTAACCATTTACTAAGTTTTATACATTCTTTTACTTATTCAATATTGACTATCTATGTGCACAATGTTCATAGAAAGTTAAATGGATATCAATACCCACATGATGTTGCGATCGATTGTTACTACATGGAAAATCTACATTCAGTAAAACTTAAGTTGGGTTGTTAGCTTTAATATTTGGATTAGTTAACTTATTATTAAAACTTAAAAAAAAAAAAAAATCTAAATTTGTATTAATATGTTGATTATTTTAATTTTTAAATAAGTTATGAGATTTTGATGAAATTTTATATTTGACATTGTTATAATTTAATATATAACTTATATATTATATATATTAATATATATACATATATATATAATAATATATAACCCGGCTACGTGTCATATGTGACACTCAGCACATAATTTTCAACCATGTCAACAATGGGTTTTTTGTAATAATAACTGTCCATATGAACCCATGTCACAAATATGTGACATAGCTTTAAAAACAGGAAAAAATGGTATAAAAAATAGGTTCTAGGTCAAAACTATAAAAGCATAATTACATAGAACTAGAAATTAATTAGATTAGGTTTGAGTTTTTCTTATTGATTTTCAAAAAGGTCTTGGGCCACGAACGTGTTATTATATATAAACCCAAAGGATACAGATAATATTCTTCCCTTTAAAATAGATAATAAATTAATTTACTTAAATTTTTAAGCTAACAAAATATAAGTTTTACCAAACATACAATTGTAAACACTAATGTTGTTTGTAAGATATCCCTTTCAGCACTAACCTACACTTTTGTGTATGTAAATACGTTTGTTATTACGTACTAGACATATTTTCTGGTTTGTAGTGATTTACTCCTAACCTACACTTATGTGTATGTAAATTATTGCCTCCTAGAATCCTGAAATTTTTTTTGTCTCCAAAATGCATGTAAGTTTCAAAAGTCAATTAATATTTTTTCTAAGAAATAGGAAAAAATGTAAAAAAAAATATTTATGGGTTGATTCCACCAAAAAAAGAACCAACACATTTGTGTATGTTAGTTCTGTAAAAAGACTAAATACAATTAAATTAAAATTGTTTACCATTTTTTTGTACTAATTAAACATTTACATTGATTATTTTTATGATCTATTTAGTAATGTATGAAATAATAATACGAACGCAGAAATACGATAATATAAAACATATATGAAATACAAAGTTTTTATTTTATTGGTGATAATCTCTAAAACAAGTATTTTTTGCAGTTAAACATAAATAAATATTACATTTGCTACATCTTACTCGAGTATGACTTTGGCAATTGCCTTTCCTGTAATTTCTCGCTGTCTTCAAATCATCAACAACAGGCCAATGATCATATTTGTCTTTGATTTTGCACGCAGATGGAATGGGTGTCCTTTAGTTTTGAACCTTTCGTACTGGTTTAGGATTATCTTCGGAAGATGAAGAAGAATCGTTTAAAAGAGGGCGTTTGTTTTTTTACTGAAGCTGATAACCATTCACGCGCTATCTCCATTTTAAATTGCATTAAATCCAGTATTTCTTTTTTCGGAAGGTTCATATTCATAGCATCTTGTCTATATTCCATCCATGCATTAACGATGGCCAGGTCAATAAAATGTAATGTAACTTTAAGCATCCATTTTTTTGTTTTTATCCATGTACGATACACTTCAAGTTGTTGATCACACAAGTCCACTCCACCCCCCCATATTTTGGTTGTAACTTACGATTGCTGAAGGACAAGGCA